GGGGCTGCCTCAATCAAGCACCTGCTGGCTGCCTGGTTCTGGTCTTAAAGTGGTAGGCACCCACAGTGCCCTGCCACATACCTCCCCGCTTTAAATGGTACCAGGGGAAGGTTTCCCCAGCTGTTGCTCCAAAGCAGGCTCCCCTCAGAGCCTGAGAGAGCCCTCGAGTGGTGAGCACCCCCAAAGGTGCTCCGCCACACACCTCCCCCCTTAGAATGAGATCTGGGGGGCTTCACTTGGCTGCCTTTCCTGCTGGGCTTGGCCCCAGCCTACTGCAGCCCCTACCATGTGATGAGCACCCCAAAGGTGCTCCGCCACAGGGGGGATTAGAAATTTGAAAATATTTAAAGTTTGTTTTTTTTGGAAGGAAGAGAGCAGATGAAGGAATGAATGGCAAACATGCAAGAAAGAGAATGAATAGCAAAGGAAAGAAATGAAAACAGGACAAGAGGGTGAATCTTTGGGAGCATACAGAAGAGGGAAAAGGAGGGAGTATGATGATGATTGCTGTAAAAGAAGCTGTAATTCCTTGTGGGAACCTAATACAAAACAAGAAATCTTCACTTTAAATGCTAATCAATATTTTACTATACACCTGTTCAAAGTGTAGATGAGAAAACAAATGCATTTCAAAGTGCAAACACTATTAGATTTCTTCACCGCCATAATCTATGAGGGGCAATACTACTTGGTTCAGAACTGGGACAGAAACATTAGACCTATCATAGCTATCATATAATGATGCTGGAAAGAGTTGACATTCTAAACATCATCTAGAGTTTGTATTTTTGTAGTAATATTCCATATTGGACCATAATTCCTCCTACATCACTATATTTCAGTTTCTGAATATCTAGTCTTTCTAACATGAAGAATGAGAGTTCCATAGATCTCAACTCCTTGTTTTAGGGACAGTAAATACCATTACATGCCTGACACTTCTTCCACATTTTCCTCTTGAATATAGGAAGGTGCTATAAATAAATTACAAGTGAATATCTCAGTTTCATTATTAAAAGATGAGGGGGTTTTTTTTTAAATTGTAGAACAAATGTATTTACATATAGGTTTTTTCGTTCCAATACAGAGAGAAACTTTAAAACACCTAAATTGAAGGATCAGGGAACACTCACCACTTGGTTTCTATACTGCTGTGGAAGAAGAAAACCCCAGGCCTTAATTTCTGCTGACTTCTTGAGTTAGTGCACTATTTGCTAATGATTGCTTTTTCCCCGCCTATTTTGCAATCTGCTCTTTCTCCCGCCCTTTTCCCTTGTTGAGCTGAGTAGACCTATGAGGTCAATAGGTCAAACCACAGTCTATGCCCTCTTGCAACTTTCTGGTTCAACCCAGTTTTTCTTTGACTTGTTATATCTTGTGTCATGTGACCTGAATTGAAACATATAAAAGGCTTGCTTCAATGGTGTGTTGGGGGGAGGGGGGGCATGCGGGATTGTGGTTGGGGGGGGGGGGGGGGCATGCGGGACTGATAAGAGGAAGTTCTGTCTGTCCGATACTCTCCCCAGCAGCTCCTTCTTTAATAAAGGTCTCTGACAACTTCATGACCAAACAATAGAGTGAAGTCTGTTTCTTCCACACTGAGGAGAATAGTTTGAGGTGAAACGATGGTCGCAGGTAGGACTATTTCTCTTTAAAAAGTTATCAGTTAGAAATCAGACCCTAAGTCTCTGCAAGCATTGTTCTGTCACAGTAGACAAGGAAAAGGAATTGAATTCTCCATTTCAGTGCAATGCAATGGTTTTGTAACAGGTACACAATCATGAGTGACTGGTGCCTTCTGAATCTGGGTGGGCACCCGTAGAAGCTGCTGACGGCAGTGGCACTGTGGGGGGGCACCAGCCACGTCGGGGGGGGGGACGGGGGGGACGTGCACTCCCTACCAGTCACCTATGTACACAAGCAAGACAAGTTCATTTAGTAGACTTTAGTGAGTGTGCCTGACGAACTCTCACAGTGTTAAAATAAGGTCAGCTGAAACCAAATTTCTTCATTCCAAAAATATTTCTGTTCTATACACAGGTATATAAAATGAAATCCCTAACATCCTGAGGGGCTAAAAAAAAGCTGCATGATCACTTACGTATTATAGCTCTTAATAGCTAACAATATGTTAGTAAGGGAC